CTTCCCCAGGAGCTGCCCGATACGGCCGTGCACTGAGCGGTACGTGCCGGCCTTTTCTCATGTGAATGAGGCCTTACACTGAGCAGCTCCTGGCAAGCACAGTGTAACTGGTGTTTATTTTGGGTGTATTTTTTTTCTTTGGCTGTGGCCTTGGGATGGCAGAAGTGCTCGGGATGTCACATGGCCGTCCACACATTGTGTTATTTATCAAGCAGGAAATTTGACATTCACCACACTAACTGCAGCCGAATCTTCCAGGTGCATGCGTTTTAAATGACAGGGAGTGATTCACCGCCAGTAAAATGTTTGGTGAAAGTCACATCTACCACTTTATAAATATAACACAATGTGTTGGCGGCCGTGTGCTGCCCCTGGCATCCCTGCCACAGCCCATTTTGGCTACACTCAAATCCCTTCAACGGGAGTTCCAAAAAACCACACCCAAAACAAACACCGGTTAGGCCGTGCTTGCCAGGAGCTGCACAGAGTAACGAGGCAACTGAAGAAATGATTATTTTCTTCCTCCGCACAGACAGAACACAATACACAAAGCCCGGGAGGCAGCATTAGTGGACTGTGTACGTTATATTGGCCTGTCAGGCATTTAAGCAAGACGTTCTCACACGTACACAAAGGGGTTAGCATTGCAAAACTGCAGACGTTCCAGCTTCCAGGCAGAACACAGAGTTACTGTAACACTGCACAAGAATACCATTGACAGAAATGTTATGTCCTACAAGGATATTAAAAGTAGAACTGAAGCCAAAACTTTAGTTTTGGATAGATTAAGGGAGGGATATATCCCGTCAGCTTCTTTTGACATTTGTGTCCCATTGGGGAGGTTTCCCTTAACTTCCTGTCTGAGAGCAACAACAAAAAGCAAGACTTAATCCCTCAGGGCCCATTTCACACCAACTGCAGGGCATTCCATAGTGGTAGCTGCTGGAATGCACAGCAGTCACTCACTAAACTTCCCCCTACGTTCTGGGGCGGGGCGGTGCATTGAAGTGAATAGCACCCCAGCCACCCCCCCCCCCCTACACAGTGCAATCAGACATGTGGCAAAACATTGCTCGAGTTCCATTTCACTGCGAACGCAAAAAAATGCTGCATGCTCCCATTTTTGCATTCGCAGTGGACCGGAATGCAGGAAATGTTCTGCCATGCGTCTGATCGCACTGTAGGTGGTGAGCGTGGCTATGGTGCCATTGACTTCAATGCACCACCACGCCCCCTCCACCCCAAAACGAAGTGGGGACATTTAGTGAGCGATTGCTGTGCGCTCCAAAAGCTACCGGTCTGGAACAAGCCCTTAGGTGAGGGACATCCCAGGTGGTCAGAACGAGTGACCCCGCTGGAAGATTTCTCATCTATTCCAGTTCTGGAGACAACCCACATTTTGGGAGTTTCTTCCACTTCAATAAGACAAATAGAGAAGGTGAATCTCACTAACAGGGCCACAGACAGCAATAAAAACCTGACCAGTGTTCTGATCAGGGGTGCCCCCATGATGAGGCTACAACCTTAGATGACATCTCATTGTGGGGGGAAGCACCACAGCCAACAGCACCCCCCCACCCCCCTGGGGCTGACCACATGGTCACCCACTGCCTCCCACCCGGCTGGTCAACCGCCGTCTCTCCCTTCTTCTGGCCACCATTCTAGGACACGGGAGGTGGAAGAATTTTCAAGCTAGGACAAACTTCGGAGGACTATTAATGTGGACTGACTTGTGTGCTATATAGGTAAGAAAATGGCTTGCTTTTTTTCTTTTTTGGGGGGTGGGG